GTGTGTGTGTGTGTGTGTGTTGGTATGTGGCAGGTTACGACACACAGGTGGGCGAACGAGGCCTGAAGCTGAGTGGAGGAGAGAAGCAGAGGGTCGCCATAGCCAGAACAATCCTCAAAGCACCTCAGATCATTCTGCTGGATGAGGTCATTATTTTATTTTATTTTTATTTTTTACCTGCTGTTGTTGCAAAACAATCTTCTTTGACTTGCTGTATTTATTTGTGTAAAATGCGAAAAGTTTAACACAAAATGCCATCCATAAATGTGTGGGGTCTTATTTTAAAWGAGAATAAATTTTTATTGATTTTTTTATTTTATTTTATTTTATTTATTTTTTGTCCCTCTAACCCTGTCAGAACTCTTCCTTGCAGATTATGTGGTTCACAGCAATGTTATAATAGTTTTTGGGTTTATCATTATAGTTTAGTTTTATTTCATTGTGACTTTTTTCTTTTAATTCAGTTAGTTTTATTTAGTTTTTTACAGTGGATTTGCTTGTTTTTATTAGTTATTATTGCATTTTTAATGCTTAGGTTTAGTTTAATTTGTATTAGTTCTAGTATTAGTTTTTTTATAGTTTGAATCAACATAGTTGCCAATGCATCCTCCAGCTTGTGATGTTCCTGTGAGTTAACTAACCAGCAKCTACAGTATTTGGTCGCTAGTTAAAGCAGTCCATTATAGTGACACCTTCCTAAAATAATTGTAACTCAATTTTACCAACTAAAAACTTGGGTGATTATTTCAGGACGAAGACAATAATTGTCTCCAACCTTGTGCTACTAGTTGCTTGTTTTTCATCAGAGCTACTGAGAGTAGTTAGTGTTTCCAGATACTCAACTGATGTTTACGTCTTATTTCCTAACTAAGTCTTCCTCCTCCGACTCCTGACTGTCTAAAAGTCTAAAAGTTTTCCTCTGATGCTGCTACAAAGCTAAATAACATTAAAAAAAAAATCTGATAACACAATCATCCTTTGATCTTTGTACTGATATGTATAAAGACCACAAAGGCTGGAAAATCATGAATTCTATGAAATTAAGGACAACATTATACATGAAGGTTAGATTTTTTTAAATGCTTTTTGACTCAAAAAAATGGGGGCTTAGTCATTTAATGTCTTTCAGAAATATGCCCCTACCCTCTGTTTCTGCTTTTTAATAACTGAGTTTGTCTTCAGGCGACATCTGCACTGGATACACAAACAGAACGTAACATCCAGGCCTCTCTGGCTAAAATCTGCACCAATCGTACCACAGTTGTCGTAGCTCACAGGTAAAACCTTTCAGCACAGGAACCTCTTAAGCTTGTTTTCTCTTCTTTAATAACGATCCGTCTTGTTCTAATCGAAGGTTGTCAACGATCATCGGAGCAGACCAGATCCTGGTCATCAGAGATGGCCGGATTGCTGAACGAGGATGGTGAGTGTTGTTTTTGTTTTCTKTTTGACCTGCTGCTCTGAGTATAGCTACATCTTCTGTGAGTTCTGAGTAAAATGAGCACTGTCTCCCTGTTTTAGCCACGAGGAGCTGCTTCTCAAAAGAGGCCTGTACACAGATATGTGGATGAAGCAGCTGCAGGCCCAAGACTCCGATTCCTCGTCGGACACAGAGTCCAAAGATCGCAAATCTGAGAAACTCCAACCGCCGTCCACCTCTTCAGCCAACCATCATCACTGATTGAGATTACAACAATAAATACAATCTTTTTTTTAAACTGATGCTTTATTTAAAAGTTACAGAACATTTAGTAAGGTGAAACTATTATTTATTTAGTCACTTTATGTTCATGTGCAATGTTAGGTCAGGTAGAAATCAAGGTGCCTTTAAATGTGAGGAGGTCGTGACACTATGTTCAAAACTATAAAATACTCATTTCCTTCCTATGTGCTAACTCTTAATTCTGTTTGTTTATATATTTTGATTATCGAGGACATTACCAAAAAACAAACAAAAAAAAAACACATTTTTTATTAATGTTTAAACTGAAAAAGAAGTAACATTTTTTGCCTCATTTTCTTTCCCCTTTTTTTTTTACCAATTACTTTAACAAGTTAAAGTAAGTTGTTAGATCGTTTYGTTGTTTTTATTGTGCAGCTTTAACTAGAGAAAAAAAATGAAAATTTAAATGCATAAAATTTACTCTCAGTGATAGTGTTGCTGTTGAGTTCAAGCAGTCAGGATCTCTAATTTATTGTTTTTGTGGATGTTTCTTTCTTTTTAAATACGGGTTTTGAGTTGTGGGACAAACTTATTTATTTACAAAGGTAGCGACTGGTGTGTTTGTTTGCCTGATCGCTGTAATCTTACAAATGATCAAGAACTTTGACATAAAATGTGATTGAAGTTGAAAGTTGTATGAGTCTGATTACTTTGAAATGACCAAGTTGTGGATCAAAAATACATGGGCTTAATGCAGGAAAATGTCTGTAAACACTTGACATGTAGTTGTAAATAGTATATTTTTAACGTTTTTTTTTTKAATTACAGTTTGTAGAAACCAAATATTTGTTTTAAGTGTAATTTTTTTAGAGGATTTAAAGACTTTTTCTTTTGACAAACGCTGTGCTACCGAGGTATCAAGTCTGTTACTGAGGTTCACAGCGCCCTCTGCAGTCCGAACGTTGTCATGTCCGAATAAGGAAGCAAACAGCAGAGAGCCTCTTGTCGTCACTGGTGTTGTACTGAAAAATGTGACCATCCGTTCCTGTCGCARGATTACTTAAAACAGAGATTAAACTATCTAAAGGCAGATTATTTCACTAATAATGTCGACGTGAAGAGTGATTGTTGAACGTATGTTTTTCCAGTACCCTTAGGAAAACAATCATTTACAACAAATCAGTTCGTCATGTTTATTTTATGTTGGAAAATGTGGTCGTTGCACAAAACATGATTTTGGTTAAAGCAACCCATACATATATAATCTATTTATGTCATATTAAAATAATGCTTGGATAATTGTTTTTTAAATATCTGTATTTGTCACTTTGACGATTTATAATATTTAAAATGTGCTTCCTCCGTTACGTGTGCTCCTAACACCACTGGGTTACCCTTTCCGGTGCAACACCGCTTTTCAGGTCAGGGCGTGTTGGTATCTGAGCTGGCGCGGYGGGGACCAGGCCAAGCGGACTTCTCTCCCACTTTTCAGGCGGTCTGATGTTTAGTCTATAGAAAATATGGATTTCGAGGCGTTGTTTGACGAAAACACCTTTCAGTTTTCGGACTTCCAGGAGTTCACGGTATGTTGGTGTATTAAACCAAGGCTAGGTCAACAAACTGCGTTAGCAAATGCTAAGCTAATTAGCTGAAATGACAAATAATGACTGGGTTCCTGGAACGGTCAAGAAGAAAATCAGTGTTTTACTTCTACACTATGCTCACCCGAACTATGAATTCAAAATGTAACATTAAATCTAGATATTAAATAACATGTCTTGTTTGGATAAGACCGGAAATGTAAGTTTACTTGTCATGCTAGTTAACTGTTTAGCGTCAGTTATTAAAGTGGCTTTTCTCTACTGTATTTGCTGTATTGTTGCAGGAAAAGTGTAGAACTCTTTGCTTTGTTGGCCTGTAGTGTGAGGCTAAATTTTGCCCAACTTGTGCTAATCTTTGTCTTCTTAAAAACAAGTAAATCAAATGTGAGATTATGTTGTTACAGTTTCTTCCTGGACACCAAAAACTGACTGAGCGAGTAAGAAAAAGACTTTATTATGGCCTGGACCCAGATGTCTCTTTAGATGGCCTCTCTTGCCCTGTTACAGGTAAGTTAACCTTCAGGCTCAACACAACAAATGCTCAGTTATGTACATGTTTGTTAAGTTTTGCTGAACCAGATATGTAACATTGTTGTATTGCCACATGTTGACATTTGTGCTTCCTGGGATTCCAGACATTGCTGTCGAAATCCTCCAGAAGTCTGCCCCAAGCCCAATACGAAAACTGCAGAAGAAGTATGCCGCACATGTTGCGAGGTTTGTTCTGCATCAAGCTTTTGTGCATTTACATTAGCCATTACACACAGCTCTTACACTTGTATCTAAAATTGATTTTTTTTWAAAAACCAATGATTATTTCTGGTTCAGGGAGGCTTGCATCTCTCCGTGTGCCATGATGCTGGCTTTGGTCTACGTAGAAAGGCTCCGACACAGAAACCCAGATTACCTGCAAAAAATCTCCTCGTCTGACCTCTTCCTGATCTCGATGGCATGTGTTCAGACCTTCAACTATGACAGCATCGCTAAAACGTTTTTTCCAAGATTAATGTTGAAGTGTAAAACCAACTCATGCTATATCTTGTTTAGATGGTTGCCAGCAAGTAYCTGTACGATGAAGGTGAGGAAGAAGAGGTTTTCAATGACGAGTGGGGAGCAGCTGGGAAACTGGATGTGCAAACTGTCAACAACCTGGAGATGAATTTCTTGAACGCCCTTGTGAGTGGTGCTCTGTGTGTGCATGCCTGAGTGTGTAATTGATTTAAGCTCTTGTTCCAAACTCATATGTTGCATCATTTTCAAGGAGTGGAGCCTCTTCACGGAGCCTAAAGACTTCTTTGACATACTGAGCCTGCTGGAAACCAGGTTTGTGAAACTGACATTAAGCCCCTGCAGTACAGGATGTAGTAAAAACAGAATATCTGATTCTGGTGGTTTTATTGTTTGTAGCATTGCGGAACGACAGGGGATGAAACGAGGGTGGTTCACGTATACTGACCTGTGTGTGCTGCTGGAGCAGTCCTCATGGAGTCAAGCCCTAACGGCCATCTATCAGCACTTTACAAAGGTAAAAAATAAAAAAACGGAACTGCAAGTGTTTATTTACACTAAGTTTTTCTCAGATGTTATAACTTCCTGTTCCTTTTAAACTAAAACCAGACAAACAATAGTTAYGTTTACATGAATATAACTAATCAGAATATTCTGATCTGATGCAGCTTGATCTGAATACATTTGTAATCTGAATGAGAGGGGTGGTTAATGCTGATTGATAATTCGAACTGTGCACGTGTTAACACTTAATCTGATCATGTTATTCTGGTTGTGGAAAAAATGACCTGACGTAATTTTGCCTGGCTAGATGCCTGTCACGATAACAAATTTTGCTGGGCGATTTAATTGTCTCAAAAATTATTGTGATAAGCGATAATATTGCCTGGTGACTATTTTACAACTAATAATTATAAAAGCATAATATGTAAGTGTAATAAATCAATAAACTTTAATTTTTAAAGAATGTTTAACAAAGTGGACTCTCAGTCTCTAACAAAAATGCACTTGAATAAAAAAAAACATAGAACAACAAAATATAAATTAAACACCACACACAACTAAGACAGTAAATAAACAATATTAAAGATCAGCATGTCTTTAGAGATGAAGCAAACTACACAGCCTGGTGAGGACCCACTGTTTCTTATGGGGACATAAGCCCAGTTCACATCCCATGTAAAGTGTAGGCTAGGTTTAGGGTCAAATGGTAATAGAAAATACTGGTAAATGAATGAAAGTCAATGCAAAGTCCCCATGAGGATAGAAGAACAAACGTGTTTTATGTGTGTGTGTGTGTGTGTGAGGAGGGGACAGTCAGAGCGCTGCGGGGGAAGAAATCAGACAGTTCAGAGTTTTCCTCATGAGTTTCTGGGACAGCTACAGGCTTTTTGGGGGTTTTGTTAAAACACAGATGGTGCGTTTAAGTTTCCTGTTATTTTTGGGAGCTACAGGTAAAGTTGACAAGTTTGTCACGGGTCTGGGGGAGTTTCAGCCCCCACCCCTTCTCCTCCTCCTCTCTCTCTCTCTCTCCCTCCCTCCGCAGCGAATTTCAGGCTCTAGTGCTCCGACACTGCAGCAGCTGCGTTCTGCTTTGAACCGTTTCTTTAGTTTGTTATTGCTACGAGCTCTCACGCTAACGCGAGAGTTCACTCCTCCCGACACGAAGAAAATAGGAGGGGAGGAGTCAGCTGAGCCCCTGTGTAGTGGAGCACAGGGAGGGAGAGAGACGAAGTAAACAAACAAGCAGGAAAATGAAACTTATCGTCCTCATTTTTTTTACCGACCTCAAAATAACTTATCGTGCAATTAATTGATTTATTGACTATCGTGACAGGCCTACTAGATGCTAACTGGTCGGTTAGCAATTCAACATTTTTATCAGAAACTTTGAATCAGCTGAAAATTATTGAACATCTCGATGGTCAAAAGTGTCAGAACATGGAGTTATTTCAGTGTTTGTTTATTTTAATGTTTATGTTTATCACAGAAGTAGAACTTCTGTGTTGTATTTCTTTTAAGGGAAAGTTTACAATTGTGCGTATGCCAGTACTTCTATTCTGAATAAAAGCTCAGCGCATGTAAACGCTAATTAATTTTGTTCCCATACAAACAATACATTCAGATTATTTAATTCAAATATATTTCAGTCTTATCAAAGAATTTTGCACATGTGAACATAGCTAATGAAGCCCACAAAAAACCTGTTTAAATACAAATAATGAGGTGTGTTTATCCTCAGGTTTCCTGTATGTTTGGCCTGGTCTATCTGACCAGTGTAGCTGGCCTCATCGCTACCAGTGCAGTGCTGCACCAGCTCAGCCTCTCCAGGAGCCACCAGTCCCTGACTCTTCCTTCAGACAAGACCGGTTTACCCCACATCCAGACTTCCGATCCCAGCCCAGAAGCCCCTGCCGCAGCCCACCACCTACACTGTTGTGTTCTGGCCAATAAGAGTCTGAACCGTCAGACTGGTTCACTGGAAAGTGGCCAACGACACAAACAGAATCCCACATCAGAGTCTGCGCAGACGTCTCTTCTGTCTTCCCTTTTTGCCTCAGGGGGTCGCAGAAATCCTGAAATGGAAACTCCTCGATCCTGGTCTTCTTCCTCCATCGTCTGCCCCGACTGTCTCGCAGCCCCGTCTCCTGTTCAGTGCAGGCATCGAAACGCCTCAGCACTCCCCGGTTACGACCCCCTCAACAGCCGTCTTAACTCTCCACTGCCCTCCAACCCTTTTGGAGCTGCAGAACTGAGTCTGGACTCTTCCTTTGGACTGTTCCCAACTATAAATTTGCGCCCTTGTCGCCCAGACTTTCTGCTTCCTACAAACAAATACCAAGCTCTGCTAATGCCCGGCTAGTAACCTGACGTTTTCCAGTCTGGATACTGAACCGGCATCGTTTTCATGACTCATAACTTCCTCAGGTCATGTTTCTGTGGGCTTTCTCCAGGCAGGTGCAGAGAAGGTGTAGTTCTGTGATGCAAGATAAGTCAAACGCAACTGAGATTATTACATTTTATTTTGACTCCAAATAACTCTTTCGTATACAGAGATTATAAAATTATCCTTATTGTCATAAAAAACTATCATCACTCACATTTATCAGTTTCAGTCTGTTATACAAGGACGAGCGTCTTTTCTGCTGAATTTATTTTAAGTGTTAAAGCAGCGACAATATTAAAGCTGGTAGCTGTTTGGCAGGTTGAATGTGTGTGTTAAGCATGGTCACAGAGAGCGTTTTTTTCCTCTAGGAATCTGGGTTTATAAGATGGAGGAAATAAACTAGTTTATCTACAAAGTTTTCAGGTTATCCATACTTTATAGTGTTTATTCAGTTTGAGATTTTCTGTCAATTTTTTTGGTCAAACATGCTGCAAAAGCATTGATGTTTTATTTACTTTTTCTTTTTTGGGGGGCAAAACTTGACCTTGATAGTTGCAATTAAAGTGTCAGGAAATATATGATTTTCATGGTGCAGTTGCTATTTGTTTCACAGAAATTAAGCAAATTCTGTAATCAAAGCATTTGTTTGAATTGTCGGTGTTAAGTGTTACATAATCCTCAACGTTCAAGGTCTGTTTAAGTCTCTGCTCTTTCTGATTCTGTTTGTAAGCTAACCATCGTGTTCTTTATAGTTTCCATCAGGAATTTGCACCCTTTGCTCCTTTTACATCACATTACACCTCTATTGATTTGTCTCAATTTATGCAAAACGACACAGACGAAGGGAATACATTTGTTTTAACATGAGACGTCAAGCAAACAACTCCTAAGTATTTGTATTTGATAAACTTTGGAGCTCAAAGATCTTTAATTTTGTACATGGTGTAAAATGTGTAGAAAAACAATAAAAAAAAGCTTTTTTGGTCAACAATTGTATATTTTTTTATTAAAGTATTAATGTGAAATAGATGTGACCTTAAAATAAAGGTTTTTCCTTAAACAGTGATATTAAGACTGTTGGAATTTAAAAGAGCAGATGTCTAGTTTTGGCAGAAGACTGTGTCCCTCCTCTTGAACCTGGGCCAGTTTCTGTCCCCCCTCCTCCACATAGCGCCTGGAGCACTCCTAATATAGACCCTGAAGGGAAAGGGTAACAAACCCAACGGTCCTCTTCGTTCCAGACCAGCTTTTTCATGGACGTACAGAACAATGGAGCCTCGTATTCCGCAGGTGAAACATACAAACCGCTTTGAACAAAGAAGTGTGTTTGATTTGCAGAAACCGTTGTGTAAATGTCATCCAGGGACTGTTTTCTTTACAGATGTCCTGTTTGCACATGAAGCTGGAGACACAAAAGCAAGGTATGTTTTCACTGATTTATAGCTCTCCACAGTCGAGTATGTAGATTTAAGCCAACGTGTTTTGTAGATGTTTATATTTTCAGTTCTTGGATGAGGTTTCCTTGCACCCATCGTCCTCATGGATGTCAATAACTTTTCTCTAATGCACGCAGTCTCACAAGTGTCCTTTACCTCGACACGACCAAGGTCTACCAACTTATTGYTGGTGATCAGGATTGATTGCTGCTGTATGGCAGCACGTATTGGACTGATCAATACTCAGAGGTCACCCTCAGATGAAAACAAATTAGGATGTTCAAGAATAACTCCACTGAGCCTCAAGCCTGTYTCAAATGGAAATAGCTGAAACCTCAAYAACGTCTATGTCCACACAGAAGTAAGTTTTACGTTTCTGTGGACTTGGAGAACCAACAAAAAATCTGCTCCAAGGATGACTCCTTCCATCTCTTAAATCAAGGTAGATGCCCTCTGGAGAAAGGTTTTATGGTCAAACAAGATAAAGATGTATGTATGGAGGAGACAAATTGAGCCTGTTAAACCTGAGCCAACTGAAATAGATGCTAAGCACGGTGGTGGTAGCATCATGCTGTGTAGGACGCATCCTACAAAGCCGATAAAAAAGGAAGAGTACCTTTTAAATTCTTCTCAGATCAACAGTTAGATGATTGAACCTGGGATACCAAACACACCAGAACTTCTGATTGGTTAACTGGATGCTTGTTGTAATAAAGTCTCATCAAATCTCATCATTTTGAAAAGATTTGTGGCTCGTGTTTAAAAGTCCACTTCATGACAGAAAACCATCTGATTTAAATGAACGTTGCCAATTCTGACAAGAAGAGCTGTCAAGTTAAATCGACCCACCCTGAAAAGTGAACAGCTTAAACCAGTTTAAGTTCAAAATGAATGACATTATTGATGAGTGTATGCAAACATGTCATCACAAACATGTGGCTCAGCATTCAGCCATCCTATACGATTGACCAGCTGCTGTTTCTTCTAGAGGCAGATGCCACCATCTACATGGATTTCATGAAAAATCACAGCTGCTATGACGCTATTCCGATCAGCTGTAAATTAGTCATTTTTGACACAGCATTACAAGTAAGAATGAACTTTCAACTAAGGATAATGTGCAAATAAAAGCTCATCAAACTAAAATACATTTTCTACAAAGGCTGGGGCACTRAAATATACATAAACTGACTTTTTTCACACTCTGAAGGTGAAAAAGGCCTTTCTTGCTCTGGTGGCGAACGGCCTGAGGGCTGCACCTCTGTGGGACARCAAGCTGCAGAGGTTTGTGGGTAAGACATGTTCCTGGTGTGAATTTACACTTTTATTGATCTGAAACAAATAGAGATTTAAATCCCTTTCTGTCACAGGCATGTTGACCATTACAGATTTTATCAATATCCTCCACTGCTATTACAAGTCACCAATGGTGAGCATGAACACAGTCTGCTCTTTTTGTTCAATCATATTACTAATTATACAGTAGTTCTGTTTYACCTGTTTCTATCTCCCATAAAAGATGTTTTATCTCTTCAATCGAGTAATTTATTATTTTTTGTTTGGTTGTATATCTTGGTTTTGGTTGGCATTTTTTTCTCATGGATGTTACTTGCTGTTCATTCTTATTATATGGCTCATTTTGGTCCTATTTTTTACCCATTTTGCTTCCTCTTCATGGTTGATCAGTTTGGGCACAGTGCTGCCTATTTTACCTCTTTTTGTGGTTGTTTGTGAATTTGTTTAACGGTTTTGCCCATTTTTCCCTATTTTGTTTTTCTAATAAATGTACTTATTTCCATGGAAGTTTCTAGGTTCATAGGTCTTGAGTTGAAATCCCCAATACTGTACTTTAAACCAGAGGTTCTCAAATTAGGGTCCAAGGACCCCCAGGGGCCTGTGAGTCATATCTTGGGGCTCCTCAAAAWTTTCAATAAATTGTTCATTTGACTTTTGTTTAAAAAAATGAATATGGGGAACAATACACTAGTAAAACAACCATACTAAACCAAACAAAAGATAATATTCCCATGACATTTAGGAGGTAAAATGACAGTAAATTATTTTTAAAACAGTATGGGGTTTGTAAGGGGGTCCCTGGAAAATTTTCACCATTGTAAGGGGTCCCAAGACCCAAAATGTTTGAGAACCCCTGCTTTAAACTACTTAAGCCACTTAAAGTGAAATGAATCTTGTGAACTTTACTATTTAATTTTACCTGTTTGTTTGTTTGTTTGTTTGTTTGTTTGTTTGTTTGTTTGTTTGTTTGTTTTGTCTGATGTTTCATCCTCAAAAAAGGTCCAAATTTATGGTCTGGAGAGCCACAAGATTGAAACATGGAGAGGTGATTCATTTCAAAGTAAATAATCTGCACAGATTAATACCACTAACTCTGCACACCGATCTAAAACATTCTCCATTTGAGATTTTATTATTTTTCGTTTTCTTTCTAGATGTGTACTTACACAATCCTAGTCAGTTTCTCATCAGTATTTCTCCAGAGGCCAGGTGAGAGGAAATGTCACTGTTTGTGGATTAAAATTTCATGTTAATTAATGTTACTAATATAGATAATTCTTCTGGTATCACCTGTTCTACTACCATAGCCTCTTCGATGCCATCTACTCTTTACTGAGATACAGAATCCACAGGCTGCCTGTCATCGATCCAGAGTCTGGAAACGTCCTCCACATTCTGACCCACAAAAGAATCCTCAAGTTCCTCTATATCTTTGTGAGCTAGAATTTTAATTTTCTGTATGTTAAYACTGTGTGGCATATCTAACCTTCAGCTAATGTGTGATTCTTGTGTATTTTTTCAAGTGGACAAAGGTTCCCAGGCCGGCATTTGTCCAAAAGCAGATCCAGGAACTTGGAATAGGAACTTTCAGGAACATTGCCACAATCCAACAGACAGCGTTACTTTACGATGCTCTCTCTATATTTGTAGAGAGGCGGGTGTCGGCTCTTCCAGTGGTGGACAATCAAGGTATACTTGTTACAATAAGCACTTTTATATTATTAGAACAGCTGACTATTGTTATTTTTTATTCCTCAGGAAAAGTGGTGGCACTGTACTCAAGATTTGATGTCATTGTGAGTAAGACTTTCATCATTTTGTTTTTAAAACGTGACCTCTTGTTATTTTGAGATTTGAACAAATTCTGGGCTGTAAGATTAACAAGGCTGCTGCTAAAGGTTTTATGGGCCTGTATTGTTATCTGCAAAGAAATTGTACACTCACCAAGAGGAAACAAATGGGGACTGAAGACACATCCCTGTGGTACATAACAATGCCAATAAGTGACCAAAAATATTTGGTTTGAGAGTTATGAGCATAACAATCTCAAGGCTGAGTCCTAAATACCAACCCACGACTCGGCGGTTTCCAGATTTCTCAGCTTTTGACCCACAAAATAAAAACTTGGCAAGACTTATGATGTCTACTATTGATTGTTTAAGTCTGCAAACATTGCTCACAAAGAGCCTCTTTGACCATTTTATAAACTTTTATCCATTTACAAGTATGGTAGCAGTTTTATCTCKTGTAATAGATTGAACTAACTATAACTTTAGCAATCTCAACAGACCAAAGGTCATTTGGGTCGCAACCCTACTGGGTCCGTGGAGATACTC